GGGGTTACATATGTAAACCCAAAACCCTAGCCATAATGATGGAGGGAAGACTATATAAACAATCCATGGGGACTATCCTACAGACTGTCTATTTGAAGGGAAAGCTCAAAGTTGACTGCTTTAACCGTAAAGTGCACACATTCAGTTGTAAACCTTAATAGTAGAGTGTTTGGCCATTGCTGCTGTGTACTAGTTAATACACCTGGCTTTGGATGCTGCTGTAAAACATATTCTCAGACTGAGTAATGGGAGTTTTGATGGTCGCTCAAGAGACAGTTTCCAGGCGCTCATCTGCTATTTGCGATGCCATTTTGTAGACCTTTCTGGGCTCAGGAGCTTTAAATGTGGAAATGCTCTGAGCTGCTCCTCATCCATCTGTGTTCAGTATGTCTGAGCATGTAGCTCTATTAAATATGCTGATGGATTTAAAAAGCATTAAGTGAATGGAAATCCACTGAGAATCAGAGAGCGGACTTAAGGTTAAAGAGCAGCCCAATAGATGCTTCTATATTCAAGCCTCTGTCTCGCTTAAATTGACTGCCGTTGACTTCTGAGCTTAAAGTAACCAAGACATGTCTCTATGTAGTGAAGCCTGAGCCACAACCATACCTATTGCTGCCAAATGTTTTGACTGGTTTGTATGATTGAGGCTAAAGTTACAGTACATCAGGCCAGAGGTTGTTATGTTCTTACTTTATTCCTGAATTTCATTCTGTGCCAACAATTGGCCTCTTTCCACCAAATAGTGACTGGAAAATCTGGAGCAACAGGAAATTCCAGGAACTAAATCTTGAAAAGGAAACGTGAAATGTGCATCTCTTTAAAAGACCGGGGAAAAAAACAAATAATGATGATCTGCTGAATAAAAAGGTGTCTTAGTAAACAAGTTGTATTAGCGTTCAGGCTTTCATTCGACTAATCCGCAATGATCAGCTGTGCAAAATACGCCACAATAGGACATTTCCCATTATAAAGTACAACTCCAAGGTCAGGGACATTTGGAGCTCAGGAAGTGTGGCACAGGAACTACATTAAGATCAGGTTGCTTTAGTTAAAACTGCAACACCTGTGCTACTAAAAAGGTTTTCTAAATGAGTCTGCTTTCCTGAAAAGGTTAATGTAGTGGAAATTAGTTACATGACCTTCTGTCAGGACATACCTCTTCTCCATAGCTTTTGTTATGTCATGTCAACCATGACTGACATCTTGCAGCATGTGTGGCGCTCCTGTCCTGTTCCAAACAAGCCTGCTGTAAATGACTCATTCGTCCAGTCCATTTCTCAATAGTCCACAGGTGTGACATAAATGCGCTGAAAGGTTATTCTCGGTTCTGTGATTGGGGTTCTACTTGTCCCCAACTCACTGTTGGATGCTGCGGTCCTCTGGAGCAAAACGGTGGCCATCTAAGCGGCTCTGTGTTATTTTAGCCTTTGAAGGTAATGGCAGGAGATCTATGTGATGAATGGCCTTTATGAGGGCAGAGTATCGATGGATTGATGGCAGAAAGCTGAGGCTGTGGGAAGTGGAACATCAGCCTGAATATATTACCGCCCCCTTCTCCTTGATTCCTTTCCACTCTTGTATTTTTCTTTTATCCATCACTCTGTCTCTTTCTTTCCTCTGCCCTCACTTCTCCAGCTCTGCTGTCTGTGACTGGTCATTAACACACACATTAAGCACTCTGTGAATCCATAGCTCCTCCATCTCTTTACTATTGCCCATAAAACTGAGCACTGCAGCCATAATGACCCACACAATGGCCACACTTGACTATCAGGGTTGGGGAAAAAGTGCCTCCTATGTAACTGGCAAAAGCTAAGCTATTAGAGAAGAATCAATGGGTACATTATGTTGGCATATAAATTAGTGTCAAGAGGCTCTCAATATTTGTTGAGTGTTTTCTCAGCAAAAAGTTTGCGTACAGTGAGATTTGTGATGATAAAATATAGAAACAGCGATGCAGGAATGTGTAGCGTAAAACTAATTGAGTTAAAGCGGACTTTATAGAAGCACATAACAGTGATGTTTGTCACTCTCTACCTGGCTGCTGTATTATTTTGGGTTTGCCATACTGCAATTATAAATCCTCAGCCTCTACTGCTTTATGTTTTCTGACTGCCACAAAGAGAGTATTATTTTTTCCCAGGGACATATGTGCACTAAACGCTGCTAATATTTAAATGATATAAGCCTTCCGTGCAATACGAGGGGAATCGTGCAATTTAATTAATTTATTATTTATTTATGTACATATTCCCTATCATGTCTTTTTAAGTCCCATTTATTGTTTTTATTGTTTTTATAGTGTCTTGTTGTTTTTATAGTGTCTTGTTGTTTTTATATTGTCTTGTTGTTGCGTGTTGGCACCTTGAGTCTATTGTAATTTCGTTGTACCTGTACAATGACAAATAAAGATCTATATATTTCTTATCACCTAAACTTAAGGGAGATCTACAGCAAATATAATGTGATGTGGTTTCACTAAAGAGGACTTGGGAACAAAAATATACTGTAATCGCACCTCAGTTTCTCTCCCACATCTTGTTCACCTTGAGCCGATATGAATGATACATGCCTTGAACATACAACTGCGCTTGAGTCCATAATTCATCGACTTTATATACAAAGTGCAGGACTAACAGTGTTTTTTAAATACACAAATCCTTGAAGAGGAAATGGATGCAAAGACCAGGGAATTCCATTATCAGCAAGGTGACAGGTGATGATGCCTTCCCTACTCTGGCAAGGTCAGAGAGATGTCATGGTGTAGTGCATGAGATAGATTTGATTTAAATGATGTAAACGGTTTGCGGGAAAGGCATAGAAACAGAAATAGAAAACCTAGGCAGAGAGTATTGATGTGACTGCAGGGCATGTGACTGCAGGGCATTATGTAGATAGTGTTTTTGCTTCTTAAATGCATGCGTCACATGCATTACAACTCTAAATCTCAGAGTAATCAAATGTTTAGAAACCTACGGAAGCAGAAATGTAATGAGCAGCCTCAAGCCCATCAGCAGTAAAAGAACAGCCAGCAAATCAATATGTGGTAACCATCACATTATAAACAGGAGGCATTAGATCAAGACAAATCACTTTAAGCATATAAGGAAACTCAACTGCAAAGTTTAATTTGTGCACCTGTAATAGTTTTAGTTTCCTTTGACACAATGATGACTCTGAATATCTACCGATGAGGAAATAAGAAAAAAATGCAGTTTATTATTTTACGAGCCAATGAATTTCTGGACAGATTTCAGACGGGCATTATCGCAGACGCCCCGGGCATCTCTCTGGCGTGAAATATGGTGGTCATTTGGCTAGACGAGGAGCGGTGAGGACCCCCTCCTAGACTGGAGCACACGGGTGCAGAGGAGCCTAGGGCTGGCTGTATTAATGAACAGGCAGTGCTGAAAGGGACAGGTTCCTGTAATGCTGATGAATGGTCATTACAGAGCAGAGACGAGAGAAGAGAGCAGAAGGCGAAGAGAGTAGGGGGGAGAAGAGTGCAGCGAAGTGAGCACTGAGGGAGCAGCGGTGAGAAAAGGCTTTAATTTGCACCTCAGATTTCTGTAAACTCGTTTATCATGTCAGCGGTGTCACTGTTCTCCAGGTGTCTTCTCCCCCTCCCTCTTTTTGCCTGGATCAAAACATGCTTGTTTGTCTCCACATATCCTTCCTCCAAATTGTATTTATCATCCTTGTTTGTGTACAGTGTATCTTCAAACCCCAAAACACCTACATATATGAAGTGTCACATCATTTTTATGGACTCATCCAAGATTTCTGAATCTTTTCCATCATTTGGCTGGTTGTTCAGGCTGTATGTGGAGAGTTCATGTGTTCACCTCTCCATTAGGCCTGATTGAGCAGCTGGGACTTTAAAGGTCAGAAGAAGGAGGAAAGACCAGGAGATATATGCTTCATATACATGAACTGACTGGAGGCCTACTTACTTCACATAGACCTCATTACCTTCTTCTAGCCTACAGCTGTTTGGATCATTGGGAGGGGGCGTATTTGGGGAAATGAGTCCGTCAGCTGAGCTTTTGCTTAAAATAGTAGTAAAAAGAATAGCCTTATATTACAAAGAGTGAAAGTGACATGAGAATAAATTCTTCCCTCTACCTCAACAAATACTCTTTAAAGTCAGTGTGGCTTTTAAGTGACTGTCGTAATGCATATGGCTCATGTCTGTTTTTTCAGTCTGCTCTAAATCTGTATGCCAAAGTATAACAGACATTCTCATCTGAAAGCGAGCTTCTAGACAAGCATCTTTTGATTTCAGTAATTTATCTTCCAAATTCTTAGTGATACCAGCCAAATGGTAATGGCACATTTTCATCATACTTTTGTGCACTGAGTGTATACCCCAAGGGGCTTCTGATGCTCATCCAACATACTTTCTGGGTCACACCTGCAAGAAATGGCCCGCAGTGTATTTCAGTTCCGTCCGCAGGCAAATGCCTTCCATCATACCGGCTCTTGGCTGCCATGTACCAGCCCCCGTCTATCTAATTATAATTCAATAGTGCATAATCTTGAATTTGTTACACACCATAGTTTATAATTCATCAGCTCTGTGCCTAGCCACGCACAGCATAGATGGCAAATAGCAGTGCATCCAAAGTAATTATGAGGTTTATGCTTATAGGGGCAGTACAAATAGTAAGGCAGTTGCACGTATTTGAACAAGTCGGCAAAGTGGTATGTTTTGCTGTGGCTGCTCCTAAATAATTGTTTATAATTCAGGAAAGAAGGATATTTGTGTATTCTCAATGGTTGAATAAGCCCCAGAGCACAACAGGCTGAGTCCTTACTGTTAATCCAGGAAGTATAGACTCAAATGTGTTGCCTTAGGAAGATCACTGATGTGTGTACCAATGCTCTGTAGCTCAGTCAACATGAGCTCACTCGATTAAAACATTTGCAACCCATTCTTGTCACCGATGATTACTAATCAACCATTTGTACTCTTCTCTTTCCTTCTCTCTCTGTAGTGGGAGGAAGTGAGTGGCTACGATGAAAACCTCAACACAATCAGGACCTACCAGGTGTGTAATGTCTTCGAGCCTAGTCAAAATAACTGGCTCCTCACCACCTTTATTGATCGTCGTGGAGCACAACGCATCTATGTGGAGATTCGATTCACCGTGCGTGACTGCAGCTCCATCCCAAACGTCCCTGGCTCATGCAAGGAGACTTTTAATCTCTATTACTATGAATCTGATGCTGTCATTGCCACAAAAGGCACCGCCTTCTGGATGGAGGCCCCTTACCTCAAGGTAGACACCATTGCTGCAGATGAAAGCTTCTCGCAGGTGGACTTTGGCGGACGCCTGATGAAGGTCAACACAGAAGTGCGGAGCTTTGGCCCATTGTCTAAAAATGGCTTCTACCTGGCGTTTCAGGACTATGGCGCTTGCATGTCTCTGCTGTCAGTCAGAGTGTTTTATAAGAAGTGCCCAAGTGTGGTCCAGAACTTTGCAATCTTTCCAGAGACCATGACAGGGGCTGAGAGCACCTCTCTGGTAATTGCAAGAGGAATCTGCATTCCCAACTCAGAGGAAGTAGATGTCCCGATAAAGCTGTACTGCAATGGAGACGGCGAGTGGATGGTTCCTATCGGTAGCTGCACATGCAAGGCAGGGTTTGAACCTGACAACGGCAACGTCTGTCGAGGTAAGTCTCGAGATACATTTGTCATTTACATCCTATAGTTGCTTTTCAAAATGACTTTGATAGCTGCATGCCCCCTACTCATAAATGATTTTCTTTTCATCATTCACTCTCTCTTAAAATGATCGACTACTCATAAAAACGACAAATAAGACAGGTGACAGGAATTTGAGCTATTTTAGGCTTTCATAACACACAGCTTTAGCATACCTTGCATCACAGCTTTTTGCATCATTGTAAAAGCTGAATTGATTGTGTTTTATGTGTTTTTTTTAGCATGATGTGCCGCGCTTCTTCTTTGATCACATCCACCTCTGGCAGAAAGGCACATTCGCATTGATTTTTAATCTGTAGCGAATGCCAGCCTTCTGTGCAGCCTAGTTTACAGATGGCAGGAGGTTTGGTTTTGCCTCAGTAGGATATGCCGAAGACTGAGTTCTGAGGAATAGAAAATGGTACACACATAAAGAGGAAGTTCATCTGGGTTTTCGCTTAAAGCCGTCACTTGCTCTCTCTTTCTGTCTGTCCTCTAATGCACCTTTACTCTCTGCAACCTGGTATTCTCGCACACACACAAATACAAAAAGAACATTTGCTCAAGGTGTCTGATGATAATATGAGTGGCTCGGGGCTCTCAGTGTGACGCAGTATTGGTCGGCCCGCCTCTGGAGGTTAGCTGGAGAGTGTGTGGAGCCCAGATAAGATTGATTGACGCACATCTGCTCTGATCAATAAAACAGATATGAGAGTGACACTTATCTACAAAGCACACTGTGTGTGACTGTGTTAACTGTATCCTTCTCGCATTGCTCTATGTCCTGTGCAAAACTCTCCCACACACACACACACACACACACACACACACACACACACACACACACACACACACACGCACACACACACACACACACACACACACACACACACACACACACACACACACACACACACACACACACACACACACACACACACACACACACACACACACACACCTTGACTAAGATAGAAGGACATTCAAGTGAAAATGATAGATACAATTCAGTTGCCTTTAGTTAGCTCATTACTGGCAGTCATCATTTCACATCTAACTTTGCCATCTCATCTCAATACAACTGTGCTTTACTTTGTTCACAGGTAATTTCATTTTACATTACTTTGTTTCTCCTACAATGTGTATATTTTGCCGCAGTGCAAGGTACATTTAATTTACATATTTGAATAGCAAACATGTAGTCTAGCCCCCACCTTAGGAAAAAAGTATTTTGGTTCATTATGTGCACTCAAATCTTTTAACAATAGCAGACTTTTTTTAATCTGCTGTGAATAATTTTTTTCCAACTGTTCGGTATTCTAAATCATTTCAGCATCACAGTGTTTTAGAGACATTTTCAAGCTGAAGTTTTAAACTGATGAACACAAATTCAGCTGAGTATGAGCACTGAACTTAAAGAAGCAGTGTGTTATCTGAAGTAATATATGTTCCACTATAACATATAACTGCATTGGGTAATTGTATTTGTATTCTTATTAAGTATACTTTTATCTAATAATACCAACATGATGAAAGATGACGCAATTACATAAACGTTGGATTGACTAGCTCCATTTAGACCAGTTTTTACTTTATGGCTATATCATATATCATACCAATATATTGTATGTTGGTTGAACATGTGAGGCAAATGTAGAAACAGGAATATTATATATCAAATGAGCAAAATAACCTAGCCTGTCCTCAAGCAAACACACCTTGAGGCTAAAATGAATGAATATGTGTCCCTTCAAGCTTATTTGATGCTCATCCAGGTCTCTTATGTGTCTACTCGTTATCCATAGAATTTCCTTTTTTTCTACCATTATTTCCCTCAACCTTCTTACAGCACAGTAATTAGAGCCTAACGAAATCCCTGAGTGTTGCTAGAAGGCTTGTTGTGGCTTGTGTTAGTGGGGGGCATTGGCACTGTAAACAACACAAACACACATTGGCAAGTACACATACACGGTTTGCAAACTGCACTACATAAACTCTTTGAACAGACGAAAGCATGTATATATCCACTAATACCCACAATCCCCCTGATTTCCCACAGTAAGTACACTTCCTGCTGTGTTAAGTTTGACATGTCTCTCTCAGACAGAAATGTAGCATTGTGGGAGGTGCAAAGAAGGAACGCAATGAGAGCAATAGGGTAAGGAAATCTGGAGGGAACATTTTATTTGGATTTATTTATTTGTTTTTTAATTTATTTATTTTGTGTCGAGTTCAAGCTACATCAAGAAACCACAAACCATTTATTTAAGCATCAGGACATACACAATATAGAAAAAGAGTTAGACAGAATAACAGAAAGAGATGATGTTGCTGTTTTTATCTCTCATAACCAGCTTACTCTCTGGAGACTCATATGGAATCTGTTCTCCTCTCATCGCCACCGAGAGGTCCCTCCAATAAAAGCAATCCAAACCTTTTATTTTCCACAAAGACTCTTTTCATGGGTTTGTAATCCATTATTTAAACAGGGAAATCTAACCTTAAAGTGCTTATGGAAGCTGAGTACGATGGGCAACCAATCAATTCGGGGTTGGTGCAATAACATAGCCTCAGCATTGGGTCTGAAGTAATTGCCCATTATAGATGAAGTAACAGTACAATAACAAATAGAATATGAGAGCACACTGACATAATTTCACTCATTGAGAGCAACATGAGAAGGAAAGTTATTACAAGGAAAGGAAAGGCATCGTGAAGCACATAGGGAAATCAAAACGTGAAAACAAATTGTTTGTTTTGACAAATGCAATAAGCTGGTACTGTTTTACAATATTGTTAGAATATATTATAGGTAAAAGTGTGCATAAATGTTTTCCCTCTCAACACCTCTTTTGTTGGATATGTGAACATTTTCCATTTGATGTATTTTCTTTATGCTGGGTGAGAGCTGATACAGCTGCTGTGTCAGTCAGTCACTTTTTAGATGACAAATACACAAAAGTAAGTCTTCGTTGTTACGACAGAGAAATGTAACCTAATTGCAGTTGTGTGTGCTTGTGTGTGTTTGTTTGCACTGTGTCAGTGTGTGTGTAAGACTCCCTGTACCTGATTGCGCTTTCTCTAATCTATATGTTTTAATTAGTGACAGGTAGTGTGGCGTGTGTGTGTGTGTGTGTGTGTGGCCTCCTGTCAGCTGGGCAGAGAGACCATGTCGAGTTGTTGTGCTCTGTAACGATGATGCCAGCATGCCATCCTCATTACCTGCTCCCCAGCTCCCACAAGCCATTTGAGTCTCTCTCTCTCTCTCTCTCTCTCTCTCTCTCTCCTCTCTCTCTCTCTCTCTCTCTCTCTCTCTCTCTCTCTCTCTCCTCTCCTCCTCTCTCCTCTCTCTCTCTCTCTCTCTCTCTCTCTCCTCTCTCTTTTCTCCTCTCTTCCCCCTTGGCTATGTAAGCAATCTGCTAAATATTTTATTACCTCCCTGTTAAATTGAGCGGAGATAATACAAATAGCACCCCACTACCTCGACCAACGCAAAGCTTTTCCTGGGTGTGTTCTGCTCAACTTAAGTGTCTAAGAAAGACTGATTTGGTAGATTTACTGAACCCTCTCTGAGTGATTTATAGAATCACCTTTATTAGGTTTGCTTCACATCCATCTTTGCATGTGTTTTTTCACAATATCATATCATAATTGATCATTTTAATGTTCCTCGTATTATCAAATATGAAGTGATTAAAACTCCCATGTAAACTAATTATTCTGACTTTGGTCTGCCTGTTCATAATTTTGCTGTTTTTCTTCGCTGATGAATGCCTGCCTGTAGTCCATAAAGCTGGCAGTCTTATGCTATGCTGGAACTGGAAACTGTGATAAGGGCAGAGGAGTAAAAGCTTTAACATTGAGGGAGCATTGTTTTAGTTATTGATTTTTTGCAAATATTTGATTGAAGTGAAATACGATAATAAGAAACGTAATGACAAATATTATAATCCGAAATACTTTCTGTTTACTTAACCATGAAACTCATGGAATCTAATGCACTATCCATGATGATGTATTTATTTCTCACCAGACCAGTCCCATATTCCTAGTATGAATCTTCTCATATTTTCTCTCACCATTAGGCTTCGGCGGGCTTTTGACACTGGCACATTAATATTACAAATATTCAAATAACTTTATTTAACATTCAGCAGGCTGACAGTGGCAGCAGGAGATTCACAGCCCATTGAGCAAGTGCGCTTCCCTGGGCTAAGTGCCGATTCATCATGGCTGCCTTACTCCTGTCTAATGGCTGCCATCATGGGGCGTGAGCACACACACGCACATAAACACACATATCTGGCTCAGAATAAGTGTTAGTTATTTCGCCTGTCCATTTAAAAATTGTAAAATGTAGTGAGTCACATTATTATATTATCAACCCTAGCCTGAATAGTGAATATACCACTATATAGTCATGGACATGGTCATAGTCATAGTCATAGCCAGCATGGACCTGCTGGCTTATTTTACTGTTTTAAAATGTTATCCAAAACCCATGGTGAATTTATTTAAAATTAAGCTTTAGAATCTTTGGTTCCACAGAGGATTTCATTACTCCTTGTCTCATCTGAGTGTAAAAGATCTGGCAGATAGTACCCACACAGGTCCGGTAAGCTATTAGAGCCAATTCCAGCCCATTTGGCCTTGTCTACTTCCGTTCCACAGGGTTTACTTTATTTGCAGAGAAGCATCCATGTGTACTCAGCAGCACACACTAAGTCACCTTGAAGCACAATTAAGTAAGTGTCCGACTCTTCCTGTGCCTATTAGTCGTATGGCAGTGAGGATCACTGTGATGAAGACGGGGGAAAAAAAGTAGTGGGGCGGAACAGAAGAAGAAAAGCTGTAAGAAAGGGCAGAGAGTGAAATACTTCTTGTTTCCATAGCTCTCAATGGGCTGAATGGGGGAATGGCAGAGCGCAGTGGTGAAAGAGTGTGACCCAAACAAAGACTCTTTGAATCT